GTATAATACTACCCCCCAACTTTATGGATGCTTTTATGGATTAAATTTTACATATTATACTAGAATAAATACAGTAAATCATTTTTCATTCAGACCTGTGTGAAGAAAATAATTATATTTTTTGAATATGGCTCAGAAATCAGCAGGTGAACCTAACAAGTTATTTCTGTCCTCAGCTCATGTTGGAGATAAGAAACCTGAAACAGTTATTTATTTAGTTCAAGGCTCCTCAGAACTATTTGCCTGTTGTTTTTAAAGAAGAGTTTGTCCCAGAGTTTAGAAAACCTCATTAATAAATACACGAGGTTCATCTGCAGCAGTGTTCAGACTGCTCAGTCTGACAACGTAGTTCAAATTCAATGCAAAATATAAAAATAAAAAGTAGAACAACAACAGGATTTTGGAAAAAAAAAAAGAAAAAAAGAGAAAAGTCCTTGGAGCTCCACCGTAGAAAAACCATAAAAAAAACATCATGACGCAGCTCAGCTGGGAATAGTCTGACTTTTGCCAGCAGAATATCAGAAAACTGAGAAAACTAACAAAAACAGGCTGAAAACTTCCCTTTAAAAAACAATGATAGTCTGAGCTGCGGATCTGTGGAGCTCCACAGACTTCATCTTTTCAAATTTAAACAGGCCACTGAAAGTTGGACTTTACATTTATTGATTTTTACACAATCACACTTTAAGTTAGATCATTTTTGAGAGTTTAGGACCTTGTGTTTAACTTTGAACTAAAGTTTTGCAGACAAACTGTTTTTCCTCCAACAATATTCTGCAGTTTATCTGTCCAAACATTGTTTCCTGTCACGGCTCTAAGACTCAGCATTTACTATTTTATCAGCTTACATTGTTACAGAAGAAAATCCTGAAATATTACTGAGCTTTAGAGAAAAAACTGCATTCACTCAAACTCCTGCTGATTTCCATTAGAGCTGAGACAAAAGAAACAATTAAAAACAAAATAACTGGACTTCTGTAGCTGAAGACATCTGACCTCCATCCAACTGTGGAGCTGGAGTCTGTCTCCTGGGTCACCTGCCTTTAACCTCACCCTAACCCTGCCTCTCTCARTGGAACCATCAGGCTCACAGATGTTTTCATCAGACACATAAAAATGACAGTGAGCTGACTGGGTATCATATGATAATAATCTTACTTGAATAGTTCCTGGAGTAAAAGGTTTGACTCTGGTGTGGGATTATTTTCAACAAAGCCTTGGGGGTTATCTGACCTACCATCATACCAAATTTCAGCTTGATATGGTTAAAAATGTTCCAGTTATGACCAATCTTTCCTGGTAGCCATCTTGTATTATTGATTTGGGTTCAGTATGTGATGGAGATTGTTCTCAGCTAATACTACATTCAAGATCAGTCCAATAAGACAAAAATTTTCAGAATTAAGACCAATTTTACAGTTTACCTATGGCAGCCATTTTGGATAGTTGATTTAAGTTCAGAATGTGATGGAGAATGTTCTCAACTACCACCACGCTAAATTTCAGCCACGAAGGTTTTAAAATGGCCAAATTATTGCGGTTTCAAATTAGCTCTAGCAGCCATCTTGAATTTTTATTTAGCACTCAGAATTTGTCAGTTTGTTATTGACTACAAATAAATCAGTTTTCAGCTTTTATTAGAGCCTTTTTTWAAATTAGCATTAGCAGTTAGCTTAAACTTGTGATTAGCATTCGAAATGTGTTAACTCTCAGCTACCAACTCACCATATTTCAGCTTTGTATGTCTTAAAGATGCTGAACAATCAGCATGTTGAAATACACAAACTCCTCTTTTCTCCCTCTCAGCCAATAGTCTATCCCGCAGTGGAAACAGACTCAGCCAATCACAAGGCCAGATTGTGATGCCGTTACAGGGAGGGGCAGGAAGGAACYGAAGCGCCTCACTTTCATGTCTAAGTGAGCATCAGTCACATATCTTTGGTTCAGCCAGCTGCTGTAAGAACTAAAATCTCTAATGAAATAATTCTTGAACCACGAGTGACGGAAGAGATTGGATCTTCTAGGGATCCCTGATTAGTTGTAACGTTAGACTTTATTTAATAAACATTTATTCAGTTTTTATCATTTTTAAACTAAAAATTTAAAAATATATTTTAACACGGGCGGGGGGCCATTTTATTTACACACAAAGCATTCTGGGTAAATAATGACGTGGATAGGTCCTTGGTGCGATGCTGCTAGCGAGTTATATCCACCCTGAAGGTTAATCTTGRACATTGGCTGTGTCCGAAACGGCAGGCCAGGTCCTCCGGAGGACCCAGACTACCCACTAGGGCTGTGTATTGGCAAGAATTTGGCGATACGATACATATCATGACAGAGGGGTCATGATACGATCTATCCCGATATATCGCAATACTATAAACAAGGCGATATATCGCGATATATTGCGATTTTTTTTGTCCAAA